TTAAATTCTTAATAAAAATATAATTACAGTTGCTAAATGCAACTTGATCAGTTCACTAGTAGAATATGCATAAACTTTAATTAACTGTGTGATTAATCTCTTTCTTTTCTAATTTTTTATATTATTATTTTATTTTAATTTTATTAATAAACTTTTTGATATAATTTGTAACTTTTGTATAAATTTTTTGAGTAACATGATCAATAAGAAAAACTTAACTAATTGAGATATGAATATACTTTATAGTAAAGATAGCATTGCAACTAGTTGCAACTATATAATACTTATTTGTCACTGGTTGCAACTAATTGCAACTCAATTTTTATTAATGTTGCAATTAGTTATAACCCTGTGATGCTTATTTGTCACCGGTTGTAACTAATTGCAGTGTCATCTTTACTTTATAGTATATAAAAGAACTTAACCAACTGAGGTATAAATATATTTTATAATATATAAAAAATCTAACTTATTGAGATGTGAATATACTTTACAGTATATAAAAGAATCTAACTAACTGAAGTATGAATATACTTTATAGAATATAATAGAATTATTAACTTATTAAGTCAATATTAGATTATTATGTAAACTTTAAAAGAATCACCACTTAAATACCCTATCTAACAGTCACAATTCAATAAGATTATACGTTAATAATACATTATTATTCTAATTAAATAATTTATTATTATTCAAGAAGAATGATTTACCATCGTTTTAATTGAATAATTAGTTTTTATTTAAGAAGAACAATTTATTATTTTTATAATTGAATAATCCATTATTATTTAAGAAGAATAACTGGTTGACTTGAATTTTGTTAAATTAGGTTAGGTTAGATAATAGATTGATCTAATCTAATAATAATTTAAAAATCTACTGATCTAATCTGAATTTTCAGATTAGATTAAATTAAGTAAATAGATTATTCTAATCTGATTTAGCTTTCTAATAATGATTATTTATTGACAATTATAATTAGTTACAATATCATCTTTAATTAAATATATGTAAAAGTCAAAAATCTATAATAAAAAAAAGTAATTTCATTACAAACTAATTTTAAATATCTAAGTTTAAAAAAATAAGAATTTTTTTAAAGATTATGTTAAAAGTATTTTTTTAAAAAATATATATAATCATTCTCCTTTATAATCACTTTCTATATAATCACATCATATAAATCTCTCATTATAAGCACACATTTCATAAAACTAATACCTATTAATACTATATAAAAAATCCTTTATAATCATAATATTTTATAATCATATTCTTTCAGAACTAACACTTGTAATAATATATAAAAATCTTTCTATATAGTCACTTTTTATTTTTGGTCTTGAAAAATGTAATTATAAAGGGAAATGATTATATATATATAATAGTTGAAAAAAAATTGAAATATTGATTATCAATAATATTAATTATGTAAGTGTAATTGATTATCAAATTATATATTTAATAATTTGTATCATTTTTATATATTTTAATTTATAAAAAATCAATTTATTATCAAATATATGAAATTATGATACAAAATTACTAAAACGTATTAAAAATATATTAATAATATATTATTTCTATATATGATTTTTTTATAAAGCTAAGTCAAATAATAGCCTACTTATTAATTCGTAAAGGTCTATTTGACTAATATAGTTTACATCTATTAAAAATATTATTATTTAACCATTTTCTAATCACATTGAAATTAACTTAAAATTTTATTTTATTTTTTACTTTTTAATTTTATTAAATTTTTTATATATATAATTAACTTTTCAACTTTGTTTCATTTTTGCATTTTAATAAATTTATCAAAAAGATATCAAACATAAAAAATTCAGAAGTATGATTTAGAATAAAATCATTCAACCTGTTTTTGATTTTATTTTAGCAAGGAGTAACAATTGAAGTTATCAATTTTTATAAAGAATTGAAACAAACACTATTTATATCAAATAATTGAATAAGAATTTTGTAAAAAAACAAGGAAATGAAGAAAAAAATTGAAGAGATTAGTATTATGAATGAATAAATTTGATTAGCAATTAGTCAATACAAGTTCGAATTATATATGTTAAATTTATGATTTCTATAATTTAAATAGATTTTTAAATCTCTTTAGTTGAATCCAATTTAATGAAAACTTGAACAATTAAAAATTTCTTTACAAAAAAAACATCTTTATCTTTAATACAAAGTGACTAATTTTAAACTTAATATTGCCGAAAATAATGAATATCATATTGCGCATATCTATATTAAAAATAGGTATTCGATTGCAATGATTACTAGCTTTGTATTTTCCGACAATGTAAAATGAAATAAAAACAATATTAAATTCCCATTCATCGAATAATCTCTAACGAACAATCTGTGTGACATTGTAATTTATATACCATCTATGGATAAAGTGATTTTAATTTTTCTATTATAGGGATGATGCAGTTCTGTTGAATTTTTAATGAAGGGCATTGGATTTTTTTTTCCTTTCAAATTTGTTGCACGATACTTGCCGGGAAATTTAGGAAATTTTCAATTTAAATCTCCTCGATCTCGTTGATTCTCCAGCGATCAAGACCATAATTGATATCGTGGATCAGGCTGCTGCGCCATTCAAGTCCCAATTCTCATTTGCCGGAATTTACGCGTCAAATGATTTCGTGTTGTTGACCAAACATGCCACGCGGATCAACAGAAAAACTACGCAAGTACTACATCAAAGTCTCTTGACGATTTTAGTAATTGGCCATTTGATTAAGGTGCTGATTCAGGAACAACGGAATATTTAAATGATCGGATTTGATTTGTTACTCATTTTATATTCCCTTCCCTCTCTCGAACTTTTTCGTCTGCCGAGGTTGGAAACGAACGAAACCTTTTTGAAAGTTACAGATTACATGAAGACGCGTTTGTCATAATAACATACCTTTCCAAAGTGTATTTTTTTTTTTTTTTCTTTTTTTTTTTTTTTTTTTGCCGCGAAACCTTCAAATAAGAAAACCTGGACATTTCAAGACGTCAATATTAATAAAAAGGTGCGTGGAAAATTTTTTAATACTTATCAAATCATTCAGGAAACGCGGGTCACGATATTTATAATGTACAGGAGAAAGAGTTCCCGAATCGTAAATAACGTAAAGGATTAAATGAAATTGTGTATATATATTTCTTTTCTTTCTTGCGCAATTTTTTTGACAGTTAAGCGATGGCTTCCAGAATGCCCGTTGAATGTCTGAGGAAGATCTTTGAAGACATTGTCACGACTGATATAAACCTTGATCCTTTTTCTCGAAAGGATGGAGTGGTCTATTCAAATCTAAATCATCTTTATTCATGTATCTTGGTGAATCGAACCTGGTGTGCAACAGCGATGCCTTTGCTGTGGAAGGATCCTTTGCATTGGTTATCCGTTAGGTACGATGAAGTTGTGAATCAACTACCCACGCCTTGGAAAGAACGTTTCCAATTCTTCATCCCATTTACTTTCACGAGGTCCGATAGACTACCAATGCTCATCTCAACTTACTTTAAATGCTTGCCGGAAAAGAGCAGACGTAGCCTGAAAGCTAACAAGGCTTTCAAAGGTTCGGAATTTATAATGGATATCAAACCATACTTTGATTATCCCTTCTTTTTGGAAAGGTTGAACCTACCCATTTTAGCAAATGCCGTTTCGATGTGGAACAGTCAGTATCAATCCGCTGATGAACTTTTCGATGAGGACACGGATACGGATGAGGAAGTACTGCCAGTAAGCGTCCTGGCAGAAAAACTCCTGAGGATGTTCATGGAAAGAAGCGGCAACCTAAAATACCTTAGTCACATGAAATCAAACATCTCCATACAATGTGCTGTTGAAATTAAGAGTAACTTGGCGGTTTTCCCCGGCGCAAAATTAACTTTATCAAAGATCACGTCGTTTCACTTTAACGCAACTTCCATCAAGAAACCAGACAAATATTACCAGGCACTGGCACGTATATGTCATTCTATCGAAAACCTAGAAATTCATTTCCTCTGTAGCGATAGTAAGGGATTGGCCGCGCTCATCGAGTCACAACGAAGATTGTTGAGGCTCTTGATTCACGGAGGATCGGGAACAAGTTACTTTGGAAATGAATCCGGAAATATTGAATATCAACATGTCGTCAAGGCGTTGGAAAATAAAGTCAGCGATCTCACTTATCTAAATTATCAATGTAATGGCGGAATTCCGTTGGGGACTTTCGCGTCTTGTAAAAAACTGGAGCGTTTGTTACTACATACACTTTATTACCTTTGTTCCGATAGTTTCGTCAAGTCAGAGTTTCCACACTTAAAATCCTTATTCATTGAAGATGGTTCGTTCTTGATTAATCACCAGATCAGGATTATTCAAAACTCTGGTGGTTCGATAACGGAGATCGTAAATTGCATGAGTGAACCAAGGGATCCGGACAATTTGACGAGCTTCTACGAGACCGTCATGGGGTTTTGTCCGAATATAATTAATTTCGAGTATTACATAAGCAAGAATCAATTTTCACTGATACCCAATCTGTTCAAAAAGTGTAACAAGCTTCAAAAGGTGATCTTTCATTCCACGAGCTTACCAAGTGACACCGCCGAAATCAATGACATTTTGAAGAGGATGGGAGAAGTAATTCCCGAGAAACTACAAAAGATCGAAATTCCATGGCATTTCACATTTTCTGCGGCTTCTTTGAAATCCTTCTTGCGGGGCTGTCACAAAAGGTTGAAGGAACCTTTACGTTTTAAGGCTTGCATTCCCACCGAAGAACATCGAGATATATTGGAACTATACGTGAATCTTGGCGTTTTGAAAGAGAACAGCCCCACTTTTTGAATTCACGCGTTTTAGATAATATGACCGATCGTGCTTAATAGCATATGTTTATCAACTTTTTTAGTATTATGACCAATTTTTTTTTTTTTAAAAATTTTTTAGTATTTTATAATTTGTTAATCAAACTCTTAATGTATATATATTATGATTGTTTTGGATACCAATAACCTGGAACATTTTTGAATAATAAAATAATTTCGATTGGACTCTCACATTATTACCAAATCGGGTTATAAGTACGCGACCGTTCTTGACATTTTAATAAAATAAATAAATAAATAAATAATATATATAATATATATATATACATAAAATATACAATTTATTAATGACAGACGTCTAATAATTTTTTTTTTTTTTTGCTTTTTCTTTTTTTAATTGGCGATATTTTCAAAATGTAAAGTATACTTTTTATTTTTACTCCAATTCTCTAAAAATTCATTCAATTCCCCTTTAGTAAAGTTCCATTTTTCCTTAAAGACTATCTTTGATAAGGTTGGCAAGTTATTTTTCATCAAAATATCGAAAATGCTCTTGGCATCCAATGCACCATTCAATTCTACTGCTACGAATTCGATTTCTTTCAAGTGATCACACCTTTTCAAGAATGATTCTAAATCCGATAAAACATCCCTTCTAACCCATATCACGACGTATTCTAATAACGAACAAGATCGCGTAATGGTACCTAGATATTTCTTTATGGATTCCGTTAGGAGATCGTTTGATATGAAATGAATATCGATCCCCTTCAATAGGGTGGCATTCGAGGATGAAATAAAGTTTGATAAGGAATTCAATGCTAGGGATTCTGATCGTTGATAAATGTGAGAGTGTAAAGTTTCTAGCAGAGGGAAATGAATTAACTCTAATTGTCCAAGATCAAAATCCGATTCAGATTGCATATCTATGATAAATTCTTTACAATTGTTTAAGGAATTGAGGAATTCGGGAGAAATGCAAAGGTCATTTTGAATTTTCACGCAAGTGATCGTTTGTGATCTTGTTGATAATGCTTCACCTATGAGAGGGCATGATACATCATTATTCTTGGTCGAAATTAATTCGATCGTTTTTAACCGGTCTTGAGATTCAATGAATTTCGCCAAACCTTTACTGTCTTGATGACAATAAATTTTAATCTCTCGTAGATGATGACAGATTTCGGATAAATCCAAGAAATAATTATCAGGGATAAACGTTGAACAAGTCAATTTTACCAAAGTTCGTAAGCAAGTGGAGGAATCCTTAATGTGACAGATGGAATAATTTGGAAGGATTAAAGATTTAAGCTTAAAACATTTGGTCATGAATAAATCCCAAAAAATTTCTTGCAATAGATCATCATGGCTGACATCGTAACCGTTTTTTTCGTAAAATTCGTCAAGGATTCCTTGTACAAGGGAGCCAATAATCTCTTTTGAAAGATTATTTATGTAAGAGACATAATTAAATAAAGGAGGACTAGTTAATTGCGTGGAGGTGATTATTCCTCTTCTATAAAGGGTTCGTTTTTGAACCGTATCACAACATGATAATATCGTTTTTGAGATGTTATTTCGATACTTTGGCAAGTAGCTCCATGGATTATTCCATAATAACGGAATCGTAATCTCAAACCATAGCCTATTTACAAATAAGAATGTGTATAAGGATTTTTTTTGAGTCACGTTTTTAATTATGATTCGGATAACGTCGGTAATCATTTTGTTGCTGTAAAACAAAAAAAAAATGATGTTAAAAATTTGAAGTAGGGAAAAAAAGAAAAAAAAAAAGAAAAAAAAACTGTCTCCCTTATATACAGTAATCGAAAAGAATGACGGATTGTTTGCAACCAATTTTAGTAAAAAAACATGACAGCGGCAAACCCAGTTATCTTTTCAGTATTTTTTTTTTTTTTTTTTACGATTTTCTCATAATCGAAAAAAAAAAAAAGATAAATAAAATAAATAAATAAATAAAGATAACCTGTTTCGAACTATTTGGCGTAATTGTAAAATGGTATGACTTTCCCACACATGATCATAAATAACTGTTTTTTTGGATTAATCGTATGTTCTAGAATTGGACCAAAAAGAAAATAGCCCGTCTCATTTGATAATTCGATTGGTTTGAATCATCTGACACATATGTATAGTGGCAAGTTGATGTGATGTAATAAAAATCTTATTTCACAATTGTTTAAAATTATATTATTATTTTACCCTTTGGGAAGTAACTTTTAAAGAAGTGTGAGAAACTGAAATCGTCTCTCGTCATTCTAGAAGGTAAACAACATTCCCAATTTTTCCCGAGTAATCTTGATCTGATTAACCGGATAAGCGATAAACCTTATCGAATGAAGTTGCTGCGTCATGTATATCCTAAAAGAAGCCAAAAAGGATTTCATTTTTCAGCCGTGTAACCCTAGATATTATCTCACATTGTTATGAAAAATGGTGAACCTTTTTTTTGAGATGATTCTTCCAAATATGGACTATCAGAAGATAGAGAGTTAAAAAAAAAAAGCTCTGTCTGTTGAAATATAACTTCTATGACAGAATCGTATCCGCAGCACATGCAGCACGCGTTTCAACTTCACGTGATGAATTCAGCCCAAAGCTAATGGGATAGATATGATTCAATTTGTGGAACCAGCCGCGGTTTCATTTTGAAATTTGACAAACAAAAATTTAAAAATTGTTTTATAATAAATGTTGCAAACGCGGTTTCGTCAAAACTCGAGATATGTCATTAATTATCTCAAAAATTAATTTGTATTCAAATAAACCACCTGTCATTGTTTAATTATCGAAATATTTCATAATTTGCCTTTTTTTCATATCCGACTCAGAAATTCTATGAATTAAATATAATTAATGATACAAATGTTTTAAACAAGATTTATAAAGATGATTTTTTAAAAAATGATTTATACATAATTTCTCATCTGAGAGAGCATGTGTCCATTTGTTGGCTTCTTTTGATAAGTTCCTTTATGTAAAAATTGTTCTATCATTTCATTGATTCCTTTGGAACTCAAGATTTTCTCTAAGAAATTGTCTTTAGTAAAAGCACAAATAAGCTTTCTCATTTACATGTACAACTTATAGTCAAAACCACAAAGTTATATGTATGTTTTTCGCAAGCGACATTGTATGTATTTTTCTTAACCCAATTAATTCACGTGTAAATTTTTATTATAACTTCGTTTAAAACTTTTTAAATGTAAATAATCTGGATCTTATGAATAACCCAGTCCATGGATCTCAATTATAAATAATAAACAAATTCTATTTAGACCTACGCATGTACTGCCAATCTACATTCCAATTCTCTTCCTTAGCCTGTGAATTCCCGTTTCGATTTTTTTTATTAA